CTCACGGTTCTTTCTTCTTCCTCCGGGGGTTTCTCCCAGCTCCGCTCACTGTGACGGGACCCCCCGGCCCCATCACCGTGCCTGTGGGTGAGGAGGAGGTGTTGCCCTGCCGCTACTCCCCGGAGCAGACTGCGCGGGACTTGGACGTGATCTGGTTTCGGGAAAACGTATCGCCCTTTGTGCATCGCTACAAGGGGGGCCAGGACCAGTATGGGGAGCAGATGCCTCAATACCGAGGGCGCACCGAGCTGCTGAAGGACGGCCTCAACAAGGGCCACGTGGACTTGAAAATTTTCCATGTCCAACTGTCTGACAGAGGGAGCTACACCTGCTTTGTTGGTGTTGATTCAGATTACAACGAGGTTGTGATGGAGCTGCAGGTGACAGGTCTGTAGTCCAAGGCTCTTCTTCCCCGTCGTTCTTCCCAGCAGCCACTTTGGGTGGTTGCGTTGGAAATAGGGTTTTATTAAGTCCCATGGTTGAAAATGCCAAGGATGTCTCAGAGAGGTATTATTGCCTACCGACTGGCTGTAAGGAGCTTCTGAGATACACTACCTACTCCAGAAGTGTTCTTGATACTCTTTTCTCCATATAAGTGGGTCTCTTCCTTCCCTGCAGGCAGCGGCTCTACCCCGCTCATCGCACTGGAGCAGTACCAGGGTGGGGGGATCCAGGTGTCCTGTCACTCGTCCGGCTGGAACCTGCAGCCCGAGATGCTGTGGCAAGATCCTGACGGGCGACATCTCCCACCCCTCTCAGAAAGGGTTACCCAGGACAAGAGTGGCCTCTTTGCAGCAGAAAGCAGCATAATCGCCACCAGGGGTACGAACCAGAAACTCTCCTGCTTGGTCCGACAAGCCCTGCAGAGCCAAGAACGGGAATCAGCTTTTTACATCTCAGGTGAGCAGAGGACGAGGGCATCTCCCGTTAGCATTCCCAAAGGAGCTGCGCTCGGAAAGCGCCGCTGGGAGAAAATCTCAGGTGCATTTTGCAGGCTGTGTCTTCAGCACATGGAGTGTCTTTTG